GATGACCTCTCCCATCTCAACCTGCAGAACTTTGGCTCTTCCTATAGACTTCTGCATAGATGCCAYCTTCTGAAGAAAGTCAGCCCCATCCCCATCTGCTCCCACACCATCCAATCCCTTGCACTAAATGTGATTTCCCTTTCTGCTAACTCACACCACAGTTGTGAGGCAATAGAGTATAAATGTCTGGTGCATATGGACATGGGATCTAGATTTAGATCTTGTGGTGATGTTTTCTAGCTGTCAGTTAACTTATGTGAACTTGAATTTCTTCAGTCATCAAATGTGTATAAAGGATTACCCCATGTTATAGTGTGTTTTGAGAATTTGCTTTTTTATCTGTTCTTCCTTGGCATTTGTCCTCTCCAACTTTGTCTCCTCTCTCTAAAATGGGGACTTGCTTAAGGGAAGGAGAGTGTCGCATCTTCCTAGGGCCTTGGACATATGGGAACTGCTATCAGGCACCTTTAAAGAACAGAGATTCCATAAATCTTACTGTTGGCATTGCGATAGGCTCACTGCTGGGTGGGGGTTCTAGTCATGTGCTAGGCTTACTAGGAGCTCTCTAATTTGGATCTTGAGACACATACAGGACAAGTTGTACAGATGCTGGCCCCTACTTCTTGGGAGATAGAGGGAGACGGGCCCTAGACTTTTTCCTGAGTTGAGCTGGCTAGAGCTGGCAGATCCCTGAAAGCACAATTGTGTCTTAGTTGAAACAAAATTTGATTTCTTTCTAGAGTCTTCCACTTGTCTGTTCTGTGGGTGAGAGTTCCAGACTTAGAGGACAGGGTCAGTGGCAGAGTGGGTTAGGGGCAGCTCTGGGAGCCACCTTCTCTTCTGGGGAGGTGGTCCCTTCAGAAGCTCTCTCCAGACACCCCACCCTTGCTTTGCTTAGAGGCTGGCTAGGAAAGGGGGTTTATTTCTTAAGGTGATGACTCTACCATTTAACCTTCTCTTACATCATTTCCCAAAATGTGGCTCCTGAGGAGTCTCGCAGTCCAAATGCTTTATCCCAGGACACGGAGTCCTCCATGTCCTGGCTACAGCATCCTTTCCAGCCTCACGCCCYGCCACATCCCTTCAGTCCTCTTCCACTGGCCTCCCCAGATTAGTCACTGTCCCTGAGAACACCCTGAACTCCTCCTCCTCAAGGCTCTTGCACATTGTGTCCCCTAATCCCATTTTCTTCCTCTTCATATATGAAGATCCTCTTGAGTGTTCAGGCTCAGTTTAGAAGTCACATCGTCTGCCAAGAACTTCTAGACCCTGAATAAGACATGGGGTGGACTTGTACCTTTGTTGTCTTTTCATCCTGTCTCGTGGGCCAGCAATTCCCAGTGATGCTGACTCTAGCCTGTCAAGCTCAACAGCTCTACAAGCAGTCTACACACTGCTTAATCAAGGACGGGAGGTGTTAGCACACATCTGCTGATGAGGGCAGGGAACTTGCCATCATGTCGGCTAGCAGTTACTCCAGAGGGGTTTTGGGGCCCACTCTAGGCTTACTAACCATGATGTATTTGATCATGAGCCCAGCCATTTGAATTCTGCTTTTGAATTGGACTGATATTAGCTCATTCCTAACCTTTCCCAAGTCTGTTTCCCACATACTAGAAGTCTGCTTAATGCCAAGTCTCTGAGCTTTTAAATTCGCTTAAGAACATAACAGCAAGGTGGAATTCAGGGTGGATTTGCATGCTTCTAAGGTGAAACCTTTTACTTATTTGGAAAATGTGGCCAATATTTTTATCCCAAAGATCTTGAAATGTGAAAATGTTTTTTTTTTTTGCATATGTTTTTGTCTTCAGAATRACTGTCCATATCATAACTGTAACTGCAATTAATAAAACCTGTGTCATGGWGCTTGATTTTTTTTTTTTTTGAAGACCTGTGTTCAGATTCCAGCTTTATTACCAACTAGCCCCCAAACCTTGAACAGGTGCTTATCTCCCTGATCTTCACTTTGATCAGTGTGCAATTTGGGGGAAGTTTTCTCAAAGGGTTGATTGAAAGTTTAAATGAAATATTGATYGAGAAATTGAAATTTTTAGAGTGTGTGTTTCAAAAACTGGATTGGAAGCCATTTCTAAATAATGTTTCAATAAGTTTGCATTTGAAGGAAAATACCAAGATAGAAGTTTATCTTTGTGTATTATATTATGTTTTAAATGACAACATAAATGAATTTACTTTCAGGGGACACATGGTATCTAATAGAACATAAATGGCTTGTAATACTCAGTTTGAGAATAAATAAATCAGAAGCATAAGCTTTGAGAAATTGTGGAAATCTTTGAAGGAGGCGAGCATGAATCAGTGTCTTGTGTGCAGCCTCTGTGTTGGACATGCGGAGTATGAAATTGTAGGAAATGGGCACTGCCCTCAGACTAGCAGGCGTTATGAGCCCTGTGCTGCAAGTGCAGAGGCTTGGGCTCTGAGAGGTTAAAAATCATTTATGCAAGTCCAGCATTAAAGTCTTGAACTTCAAAGTGTGTTCTTGATGGCTTCTAGAAACCCCTTATATTTACAGATGTGACAAGTCCTGTCTTTACTTGGTTGATCCTTTTTCCTCTTCCTCCAGGGCAGCCACTAATTCAGGGCAGATAAGGCAGTGGAAACCTACAGTCTCATGACCCATCACTTGCTTAATAAATCTGGATAAACATCTTGACTTTTCCTGCCCAGTCTCTCTGCTTATGACATRTCTACTCTGTGTTCCTTTAGCTCTACTCATTCATCAGTCTTTACTCCTTTTTCAGAGAGAGATTTGCCATTGCCCATCACCACCTTAGTGGTCAAGAGTATATTTAAAAAGGGTTTCTACTTTCTTAAAAAAATGGTGGAAAAAGAAATTCACTGACTATTTCTTGCCATTTTCTGTGATTTATGGGCCACCATGTGGAAGAGGTAGCAGGGGGCTGGAAGTTAGTAGCCATGGGTTGCATCTTGGATCTGACACTGACAAGAGAGAGGACTTGAGGCCAGCTCTTCCTTTCGCTCTCAGGACCTCAGTGTCTTCATTCGTAAAGAGTGAGGGCCCTGCTAGGTGATTCCTAAGATTTTAAAATTCTGCATGTTTTCTGGTGTCAAAACCATCAATTTCTGCGGAGCTGCGTAATCCTGCAGCTGTTTCTCTGATACTTTTCAATCTTTAGATTTAATCTATTCAACAATGTATAATTTTTTAAAGGGAAGCTTTTATAGACACTTCTGAAATGTAAGGGTGGGGGGGATAAATGGATGTTAAAAAATAGAAAACAACCAATTAAATAGTATATAGCATGTAATTCTCCTTGGAAACTTACCGCGAAATTGAGGAGCACTTTAACAACTGGTAATTTAAATTGCATTTGAACTCTGCTAATGGTTTGTTTGCATGGGAACTTCAATCATTTCACAGCGGTTCTTTAGCAAAGCTGCTTGTTCTCTTTATGGAAAAGAAGAAAAAAAATATTAAAAGAAGTTGACTATGGAAAAGGGAGACTGCTTTTGTTGGTACATGGAGGGAAGGTGTAGAGTATGTGAATGGGACTTCCCGAGGGCCAAGGGTGGAGTGCTATTCCATTCTGTGAAGTTTAGAAATCTGGGAAGTCGGGTGTCTTTTGCTGCTATTGTAGAAACTGTTCTGATTTTATTCTTTCTCTGCAAGAAACTTTGGTTTCACGGGGCTTGGGAGAAGGGGGATTGTCTTTTTGTTTTCTATGAGATTGTACTGTCTAAGTTTGGCCTYCTAAGAATCCATTCCCCAGCAAATTCGAAATTGTGCCTCTCAGTGGAAATAATCTTGAGACTTCTGATGTTCTTGAAGACCACCAGTGTTGAGGAAAATCAACAGGGCAGATAAGGCAGTGAAAATTGATTAAACTCATCTTGATTAAACTTCATTTTCCTTATTTTATTTCTTTCTGCTCCTGGTGTGTACTGGGAGAACATTGATGCAGATGTTCAGAGGCCTGGGTATATAAGTCTTGGTTTTGCTCCAAGACTTATTTGATCATCATATGGTCAAAGACCTAATTAATTCATGTCGTCTSTCAAAGTAAGAGGGCAGTAACCAGATCCAGTGGATCCAGCCCTAGACAGCCTGCCATCCACGGTGGGCTCTGAATGGCCACCCTATCCTAGCTCCTAGGTTCTCTTCCTGGTAGTTGGAAGAGTTGAGGTGTACCATTTTAAAGCTCTTTCCCAACTTTGAATATATAACAGGGATTTGAAGACTGAATGAGATGATATACATGAAGCAATTGTAGGAGGGGGTAAATGTTTCCAATCACAGCAATAAGAATGGGGGTGATAGATTTTCTAGTATTTGAATTTCCCTTTTGAACACAAAGGAGAAGTTTTACAGCAGGTCCCTGCCCTGGAGTACTTGTGTGCTGGAATATACACTGCATAGTTCTTAGAAAAGAAGTAATAGTTCTTAATGAAATAAAACCTGTAATGAGAACTTACCAAGAGGTGTTGAGATTTTCCAGCTCTCTTTGGCTCACTAGCTCTCATTTTTCAGGCAAGAAGACTAAAGTTTAGAGATGTCATGAGGTTGCAGAGTTAGAAATTTGTTTCCAACTTATTTCTTTCTTTTTATTTGGCATACTTAAGTTATTTTTTTTCTTGTCTAATATGTGTCTATTCTGATTTTATTCTTTCTCTGCAAGAAACTTTGGTTTCACGGGGCTTGGGAGAAGGGGGATTGTCTTTTTGTTTTTTATGAGATTGTCTCTTTCATTGCCATTATGGGGATGAAACCCTTTTTCCAAGAGATTTGAGATGTGAACGCTGAAGAACCACCCTTCTTTTTCCTCAACATTCTGAGAGAAAATAGTAAAATGGAAAGTGCTAGCAACTGATCTGGGTTTAGGAGGCGTAGAGGTAGGCCACTAGAGTTGTGCACTTCAAGCCTGGTGTTGTCGCTATGGTCAATCAGGCTTCATACACCTGGGGAATTCAGAAGCAGTAACACCCTGAGGATGTGTAAACACTCCTCTCATTTTCCACAGGTGGGACACGGAGACTCGGAGTTGGAAGTGAAGCCAGAATCCAGTCCGCCAATTCCCAGTCCAGTGCTTTTTCAACTGTGCACTCATTGGAGAGAAGATATTTTTCCTCAGTTGGTAAGTCCTACACAGAAAACAAGACATTTCTCTTTCAATGTGCATGATTTAATGAATTTTAAAATTCAGTGGTTTTCATGTAAAGCTTGGGTACCAGTAACTCTGATTCAGAAGCAGAGAAGACCAAAATGTCCTTCTGTTAAAAAATTGATTTTGTTGGCAACAGACAAGATATAATAATGCTAATAAAATGTGTGGCAAAGCAAAGGCAAGACTCAGCTCTTGGAAGGTGGCATGCGGAGAATTTGGAGGAAAATTTGGAGTAGTGGCGATTTTAGGTTGCCAGTAATTGTATTGCTTTTTTCTTTCTCTTTTGGCATGAAAAGAAGTGTTCTTGAAATTGAGAGACCAAAATGAAAATGTCAGGCAACAGCGATATGAGCATATGTGAGGAAAGAGAGCAATATTACTGTCTCTGTTTATTCCTTTATTCCTTTGTAAGGTGTGCTCTCTTTTGGGACCTCACTTTACTTTTTGAGGTAGGGGAGGCTAGCTTTGCTTAGCAGAGGGGAATGAGCCTTTATGTTAATGAGCTTGGTGGAGTTCCATTGCCATGGCCCTGACTGTGACTTTTGTTGCTCACTAAGGAAGGAAAAGGGCCACCAGGTAAGGTTATCTTTCCCTTGCAACTTGGAACATCTMTGTTTAGTGAGTGGGTAGAGTAGAACATCGCATTCTTAAAAAAAAAAAATGAACATGGCAAAGACGATCAATCACCTGAGCTGTGGTGAAAGCTGAGGGAAATAGTTGGGGAATTCTGGTTAAGGCTTCCGCTTAGGATTCTARTTCTGTGGTTTCCATGTTGAGGGCCAAACCCTCTGTGCCCAAGCATTGGCATTATAGTGCGTAAATAATATGCTTCACCATGTTTGTGGTGTAGTTTTTCAAAACAGAGCAGATGCTGTTGTGATTGATAAAATGTAACTTCATTTAAAAGTGTGGCTGAATTTGTAGTTGGCATTTTGTCACTCTGTCTTTTTAATGAATGTGCAGCTGACTTTCCGTGGGCCTGCTGATCTACATAACATAAAAGGCTGGAGCTCTTTGACGTTGACTCTTTAACATTGTAGTCTGTTAAAATCTCAAACATGGTCCCGCTAGCATCGGTTTAAGCATGAAATGGGAATCTGTGTTAGCTGCTCCACCTGTTAAGTTTTCTCAGTGTTTAAAATTAAATTGTGATGTATATGAAGCCTGGCCCTTAGATTTAAAGAACTCAAGTGTGTAATGACAGACTAGGAGAGAGTGCTTTAACAGAAGCAAGCCAGAAAACACCCAGAGGGGTTTTTTTCTTTTTTTTTCTTTTGGTGGTGTTTGTTTTTTCAGTTGGTAAGCTAGTTTTGGGCTTTTTGTCTTCTAAAATGCCAGTGCAGCTTCAGACTATATTAAGGGGAATATGGTATCTAGAACATGGTAGATGGATGATCCTGCAAACTTAGAACACCTGGAAATGGCTAATCCAGAGCTAAGGTAGACTTCAGGCTCAGCTTGAGCAGGGCTGCTGTTTCTCTGCATTCTGGTTCTGCTGGCTTTTTTGTGTGTCGGCTTCATCTTCAGGATGTTGTACCTCATGGTCACGAGTTATTTGCCTGCTTTAGCCCAGGTTATTGGCATCCTCCTTCCTATCTGAAGGAAAGAGAGCCTTCTTTACCGTATTCTCACAGGATTACTGTAGAGTGCTGAACCAGTAACAGGCCAAGCTGATGGGACTGTTTTAATTGGCATGTATGAAGTAGAGTATGAATTGAATTTTGAGACAATCCTACCTGAACCTCGTGGCCATGAAATAATGGAGAACAAGCAGCTCCTCAWGGAATATCCAGGTACTATTAAGAAGAGGAGAGGTTGTATGTGGACAACCATGGGCATTCTGTTTACCCCCCCCCCCCCAGGGCCCTCCAAAGCGTATCAGGTTGTAGTTCATGCTCACCTTCTGAAAAGGACATTAGCCTGCTGAGCTCTACATGAGGATGCTGAGAGGACCAGAAATGGTATCCCACCAAATGCAGGAATGATCCCATGAAAAGGCAGGACACCGGGGTACACATGACCATGGGCTTGAAGAACCCAGGCAGTAGAGGGACGGAATTTCTTGTTCACGTGTGTATCCTTGTAATTGAGTGGGGTGCTTGGTACATAACAGGTGCACATGCATCTTCATGGATAGAAGGAATAAATCCACAGGTAGAGTGTCCCTTTTCCTGAGGGTGTTCTACCAGGCATTGGCTGAGTCTCTGTTGATCATTCATAGGAATGCTTGCACTAGTGAGGCTGGACTGCTTGGTTTTTTGAGAGTGAAATGAATGACTGAACAGGAAGAGACTTTGGGGACCGTTATGGCTTAGGAAGTCTGTGAGTGCCTATAAGGGCAGACACTGGTGGGATGGGGTAAAGAACAATCTCTCTTCTCTCATTTTCCCTGTCTCAGAATCAGAGGTGGTAATCATTGCCTTGCCTGCTTCTCATGATGTTTAGAGAAAGTGTGTTCATAGATGCCCAACTGTCTACTAAATGAAGAAGTGTGGTCTGGATGTGATATGTTATCACAGTTTTTTCTTTAAAGATTCATTTTAAATGTAAAGAAAAATAAGATAAGTCAACTACCCACCATTGCTTCTGGTGCATAGCCACATGCTCCTTGTACCCTGTCTTCCCATCCCAATACCCTGTCTTCCCCAAGATTGGATGGGCAGTCTTGGGGAAGACARAGTATTGGGCAGGAAGATGGGCAACTCATCCTCAGTCTTGAAAAGCAGCTAGATCTGGAACCTTGTTTGATAATGATGATTAAAGTTGAAGTATGATTATGTATTGTAAAGACTTTCACATTTGTTTTTGCCTGAGGGCAGTGGGAGCTTGAAGGAGGTGGATCTAGAGACCAAGGATGCACAGTGCTTGAGACCCCAGAGAAGCTATGTCTAGTTGTTTGGCTCTTGCTTCGTTTGGTTAGGTAATCACACCTTCTGCTCCGGGCATGACTGGCCCAGTGGGAGTCAGGAAGGGAATTATTTCCCTCTGTTGATCCCTAGGTACAATTGTTGACTGTTGCCAAGGGCTTTCAGTTTTAATATTTTCTCTTTGGTCCTGAGAAGTATCAGGTATTAGTTTCTGCCGGAAGCAAAACATTGGTCACTTCCGACAGAGGTGAATGTCTTGGCTGTCTACAAATACTTGGTCAGGTGTTTCTGGGTATGTGTGACCATCTGTTTAGCCAGATTTTATTGCTTTTTTTCTATTTGCTTCCAAATTTGTATAAGAAGACTCGCTGGGTTTGAGCAGTGACCCACCTAGTCTCCAAGAATCTGTGGCTCTTCACTAACTTTTTGCAGGAAGTGTATTCACCATTCATGAAAGTAAATTGTAAAGCTAGTTCTTTTTTTGTCCTTCTTTTTACTTCCATATTCTTATATTTCAGTGCAGATACCTCTATTCTACTTTGGGAATGGCCCTTGGAGATTAGAAGGGTTCTCAAGTTCTCCCGCATTGGGTTACTATGTGGCAGAAGGGCTCTGATACCTAAGTAGTTGGAGGGTCCTTCGTAGTTTCTGCCACATATCTACCCGTGGTTCATAAAGTATGTGCTTGTTTTCTGCCCTGATTCCAGGGTTTGTCTGGAGGGTAGGAACCTCAAAATCTTTTGGACACCATGGTGAATTAGGTATAGTCCCTGATCCTAAGACTCTTGTAGTTGGGGAGAAAGGAACACACACAAGAAAGTAATATACATGAGGAGGATATTGGTCACAACACACATTTATTAATCACTAGCTGTGTTTTAGGCCATATGCTAGGTACTTGGAAAGATCTAGGGAAGTAGGTCATAGCTTCAGATCTCACAAAGCCTCAATGTAAGACTGGGAGAGTAGAAAGGATTGGGGATACTTTGGAAAGTTTCTAGGATGAAGGGATCTGATCTCAGAACTGAAGCTTTATGGCTCAAGCTCAGATGGCTGGCAGGGTGGGACTGCCACTGGCCCACTGGGTCTGGACAGGTTCAAAACATGTTGGTGATATGAAAGAATGGTTAGAAAGTTCAGGAGCCTCTCACCTCTGTGCGTGCTTCAATTTTTAGCTCATTGCCCACCCATGTGCTGCTATAGAAAATGTCTTGCAGACTTTTTGAGGCAGTGAAATTATATCCACGGTCATGTCCATATGGGCAGAGTATGACTGAGTATATGTCAGTCTACATTCTTAGGGACAAGGTTTCTTTTAAGAGTTCCTGATATTGAATTTCTTATGATCTACTTAGGTCTCATGAAAAATGGTGGAGTTCGTAGGGAGCTATTAAAGGATCCCAGGACTAGATGTTTCCAACTTTGATGCTATATTAGGTCTATTATTGTGTAAAAAAAATTTGCCCACACATATCTCCTTGAAACAAGGAACATTTATTGTCTCATGGTTTCTATAGGTCAGGAATGTGGGAGCAGCTTAGATGGGTGCCTCAGGGTTTCTCAGGCGGTTGCCGTCAAGGTGTTGTTGGACCTRTAGTCTCATTTTAAGACTCAAATGTGGGAACATTCACTACTAAGCTTATTTATATGATTGTTGGCAAGATTAGTTCCCTGGAGATAGTTGGATTAAGGGCTTCAGTTCCTTGTCATGACTGTAGGGTAACTCCCATGATAGTTGGCTTCCCTTACATTAATGAGCAAGAATAGTCTGAAGTTGCAAGCCACAGACCTTTTATAACCTAATCTCGGCTACATTTTTCTCTGCCTTGTTCTCTTGGCTACAAGTGTTTCACTACATCCAGTGCATAGCCAAGGGGAGAGGTTGCAGAAGGGCATGACGACCTGGAGKTAGCGTTACAGGGGTCTATCTTAGGGGCTGCCTGACAGATAATCCATTCTGCATGGGATGTGGTAAGGTGARAGTAGAAGTTACCTGGAGCTACTGAATAAACTTAGCATACCTCTGTGGGTCAATGTTACTTGAACACTTTTTGTGGGGGAAAATTCCATTTAAAAATGATAATATAAATATATTTATACAAT